AAGGCACCAAATTGGAACAATGTGGAGTAGTATTTAAGGCCAAATATCTCTGATACTATTGCAAAAAGTAATGTCCATTGTGCTCCAACACAAAATCCAATTATCACTGAAGCTGTGTAGAGAGAATTTGGAACTGCAAAAGCAATCAGGATATGACCAACACAGGCAAGTGCAAGTACGAATGTAAGCATCAAAGATCGCGGAAATTTGTATTTGGTCAGAAGCAATTCTGAGGAGAATCCGGCTGCTACTCGTCCCAGATAATTCCAGATGCTGACCAGTGATACAAAAGTGGTAATGCTATTACTTGGATAACCTAAAGATTTGCCAATTTGACCCAAGTTATCTATTGCTGTTAGTGCACCACCGATGCCACATGATGTCGAAATAAGAAGAATTAACAGGTCCAAACTGAAAACTGCTTGCAAAATGGTGTAGTCCTCCCCTAGCTCTGGTGGATGGAAGACATTTCTCATTGAAGCAATTGTCTTGTTCCATGAATATGTTGCTGCCGCTTCATCAGCCTCTGGGGCTTTTGCCACTGAATCCACTGGTGTCTGCAGGGAAACTTGAGTTACTGCAGGTTCAACTTGGATATGATGTGAAATGTCACTACTTGGCAACAATAGTCTCTTGCTTTTCCAGGTACTAAATTCTTCTTTTGCCACAACAAGAAGTGGAGAAAAGACCAGAATAAGCACAGCAACAGCGCTTGCAATATATTCACTCCTACTAAATGCAAGCCTCTTTTGGATAATGATTATAACCATCAGAAAACTGGCAAGGCCAAGTGAAATATACAACATAGAGTAGAACAACCTGAGCTCATTCTTCTGCTTGACGACCTTCATGAGTCGAATTGCAGGAAGAAGCACGACTGAAACAGCTGCTGGAAGCCATCCTACGAGTAGTATGATGGACTTGGTATCATCTCCATTCAGGGCATGGTACAATTGTGTCATGATAGCGCCGCCTCGACTCTCAGGAAAGTTCTTAACGGTTGTGATCAAAGAGCCCGTATGAGCAAATGCCTGTGAATCAGCACCATGAATATATACAAGCACAGCTGCCACACCTGAGGCTTCCGGGTACGGCCCGTGACAGCTAGCCAGATAATGAAGTAACCAAAGAAGTTCATGACAGCTCCAATGGCCAAAACAACCCATGGGGGGCAAACTTCATTGATCAGTCCTGATATGATTCCGAGGTTGCTTCCCAAATCCTTTTAAAAACTGACTAAATTAAGTGTTGTTTGATCATAACCTAATGTAGACTTGATGTCATTGGAGTAGGCACCAAATAAATAAGCACAGCCATTGACGGACATGATCAGTTGTGAAGCGAACAGAGTGAACCATCTGCCGGCCAGCAAATGCAGCCCAAAACTCCTCATTTCTCTCCAATCACAGTCTATGTCCCCCTTGCATTATAAGTAAAGTATGTTAATACATGCATATATATACACACACATATATGAATGTATGATAAATGTATGTATATGCGAGGAATTATAAGTGATGTATGCTTACAGCACTTTTTGACTGCAGTTTTTTTCTTAATTTTGTTCGTGTATTACAAAGATTAATTGTCTTTGAAAGTAAAGAAAATGTTTTCCAAATTATGATTATTGAATCCCACGGATTGAAATTATTGCCACAGCCTTTCTATAGATACCATGGAAATGGTTATTTCATTTTCAAAATAAGCTATGGGAAATTTTAAGCATCAAGTAAATTTACCTTCCTCGAGATTAGGCAATATTACAAATCATTTCGTATGTTTTGACATTATTACAATTATGCTCTCACTCTTTTCCACGCTCTTTTCACCCCTAACTATTAAGTACAAGATTTGAATTAACCTGATAACGAGGAAGACTCTAAGAGCCCTCTTCTAACTATTGAATCCACTCTAGTGGTTTACAATTATGCACCTTGAATACTGAAACATTTATCAATTTGCCATTGAATGTTAAGGACGTTAGAATTATTAAATTATTCACTATTAGATCATTCTCTAATGTGCCAAGTTCGAACTTTTCACCAGTTCCGTCTGTCAGAGTTAATGGAGATCATTGTAGGGGATTTGTTATATGGTCAAACCACAGGGTATGACATGCAATACGGCCAAACCTTCAAGGAGTTAAATATAGTTAACCCAACTATTAAAAATTAGTATTTTTTTTTTTGTTATCATTTGTTGGCTAAAGAGAGAATTGCTTAGGCATCATAAATCGTCCTTTACAACCAATAGTCAAAGCAATTTAGCTCAAAAACTGTTCCCTTGTGGGGTATTTTGGTTTATCTTAGTTTTGTGTATCCTTGGCATGACATAAAGGTATCCATCACCCAGATTTTTATATGCTTTTTTCATGATTTTGACAATTCCATTTAGCTTCAAGTGCCTGGCTCTTTATGCCATTGCCGTATTACAATATTCCAAAGATTCCAAAACCGGAAAATTTCCAAACATAAAGTGTCATATTTTGAGTTTTGAATTTTTTAAATAACGATTTCACTAATAAATCTTTATTTAAACTCAAACATACGAATCTGAGAAAGGAAAAGTTTGGTAATGTAAATACAACTGACTGTTGCGAATGCATAGTCCACTAAAAGCAATATAAATTAAAAAAATTAACTTTTTTTTTTGTCTATAAAGAATGAAAATTATTTAGCGTAAATGAAAGGTTTGGCAGCCAATTGTCAGTGAAAAGATGAGTTAGGGTGGTTTCCTTAAAAAAAAAAAAAAAAAAAATTACAAAGTAGAAGAGGGTGGTTTGCCAAGAGGGAAACCAATTTGGGCAGCCACCTACTAAATAAATTTGACAACAATGTGCTGAGTAACTATTGTGTTTCATATTTAGGGCCATTTGGAGATGCGATAACTTATTGAAAAATACTTCATCAATAGGGTTTTTAATAAAAAGCACTTATCCAGTGTTTAAATACTTTTAAGTATATTGTTTGGATACATAGTTCAATAAGTACTTATTACATTGGGTAATGTATAATTTAAAATTTTTTTAAATGTATTTATCTCTTTATTTAGTTCGTAATATAGGATAAAATGATTAAATTTAATATTTTATTTTTTTAAAATACAAAAGCTATTCTAAAAGCATCGAATTGGAGATTTTGCTAAAAGTACTTTTAACACCAAAAATTTTACTTCTAATTTTATAGAATGGTGCTCACCAAACATCTCAAAAATACTTTTAACACTCAAAAGTGCTTTTTTACTAAAAGCACCGTAATCCCAAATGGGGCCTAAAAGAAATTAATTCTCTGAAGAAAATGCTTTTGAAAATTTTGAAACATGTTTTGAAATTGCTTTTTTCTTTTGATCTCACAACTATGTCAATTGATAAAAGTACTCCGTTATTTTTTTTTTTCTAAAAACACCCCAAAATAACCATGATATCCTTTGGTTGGTTAATGTATTTGCAACAATGCAAAGTTCAGGCAAAGTAAGTGCTGTAGTAATTCAATGTGACACTCAACTTTTTATTACAAATTAAATATTGTCTTATGAAACTATTGTTCTTACTAAATCTATCCTGTAATTTCCGTAAGTTAAAAAGAAAACAACCAACATAGACTTAAGCATGAAAAGAAGTCCTTTAAAATTTTTATATTCGAATGGGAATGGAAGATGAGAAAAGACAAATTCACACATAATAAAGCAAAAAAGGAAAGAAACAAAAAGAGCAATTATGTGACAAACTTTTCAATGAGGGCATGATTGTCTTGCCGCTAGCTAAATACATTTGACTGTTAATCATAGAGTTTATTCACTACTAACCTCTAAAGCTCTAATTACAAGGTGCAACACATATGAATTTAAGCCTTTAAAGAAGTATACCAGAAAAGTTGACAAAACATTTTTAGAAATTGAATTGAACCCATAAAACACTGCAAATGACTTGAGAGTTTAACTGGGGTTTAAAAAATTTAGAATCCAATCGTTTCTGTTTATAAAGAGCATCTAAAGTCCACAGACAGCACTAGGAAGGTAACATCACGCTCCCATTATACTAATATTGTGTTTCTGTCCTAGTTGATGAAAACAGCCTTTGCAATTCCATGAATTAAACTTTGTTCAATTCTAGACTGGAGCTCGTCCTTCTCTCTCTCTTTTTTTTTTTTTTTTTTTTTGTCAGCACGATAAATTATATGTTGTAACTTCTTCTATTCTATATTAGAGGGAGGGGGAGTTAAACAGATCAAAAGGAACTCGATAAATCACCATCGATTTAAACGGGTGCCTGCGCACCCGTTGGCGAAATATTTTCAGGAAAGCCTGGAGCTCGTCCTTGTCGTTTAGGAATCATTCTACTTGAGATATCTCTGCCTATGTTACGTGGACTCGAGTTCGGACATCGGACACGGGTGCATATTTAGGTATCGAATTTGTATAAATCCAAAATTAGGATACGGATATTTCTAAAGACTTAGACTTAGTTACGTAGACACGACACTAACTTTAATAAATTTAAGAGTAATGACTAATTATTTTATTACACTAATCGAACAATTGATAAATCGTCTCTGCCAACACGAAAATCTGATGCTGACACATTAACCTCTTCTCTTTTCTTATGTTTATCCGTTCCTACCATGTTTTTCTCTATATTAATCCATCTCCTATTCCGTCAGCAGTGTCATCTTTAGCAAGAAATAAAGTAATGTGATCCTTGAAAGATTCTAACCTCGAAATTCAAGAAGAACTTTCGTTTTTCCACTTCATATAAAAGCTGGAACCTGTGGTTTTTCTATAGTAAGATATAGTGTACCCACTCCCTAGATTAAGAAGCAGATGATTGAGTATATCCGCTAGCTTTTTTCAGTTCTTTTAGGAAGACATGTTAATGAAGAAATTAATCTATTTCGCAAGATTTTAACTTTTCTCTGTTAAACTGCAAGCAACCAAACTTCAATGTCCTCTTCGAGTCCACCACATTATTTATGCTTAATACAACACATTTAGAACATTTTGAATGTTAAAGCCATGGAAGTATTGTATTTAGCTAATGATGCCACGATTTACTGTTTTGCTTTTCATGTGCTAAAACAGTATAGAGAAGTATAATTGTTCGAGGATGATACATTATTTGTACACGTGCCTTAATAGTTAACAAGGAGAGCGCTACTTTGTATAAAGTAGAGATATTAGTCAGGTGATCGTGAGGTTCCAAGTTCTGACTCTTAATCCCTACCCTTTCCCTATTCCGCTTGTAAGGTTTGGAGTCGCCTCTCAAACTAAAAAAAGAGTTCCAGTATAGATTTCTAGGTTTATAGGATAGAACAAAGTGTACAATGATAAGGTGGCTGAGCACCTTAAGGATTTATGTCACGCCATCTAGGGGAAGCTTGAACATGGAGGCCTCCATCCACATGCAAAGTTAGCATTGTCTTATACTTGACCACTTTCTGTTTGTCACTCAATTTGAATGTGAAACTGCCCAACAATACAGCTGAAAAGATTTTCATCTGCCTGTAAGCAAACTCCTTTCCAAGACAGATCCTCGGTCCTGCCTGCATTTACACCAGCTCGGGTTTTTAAAGTGTCTTTTAGCAAATTGATGAGAAATTTGATCTAAATATGAGGAGTAATAACCGCTATTTGTGCAAGAAAAGGAATGAAGAAAAGGAAATGCATTGTTTAGATTATGGTAGCAAGAATGTAAAAATTAAAAGAGCCTTTTATTATAGGTCTATGAACATTTGTGTTAAACACAGAATTTAAATTTTTACCTGGAAAGCAGGGAACTTAAAAGGACTTTCTTGTTGAAAAACACCATTTTCATTGAGCCATCTCTCTGGGCGGAAATCTTCTGCATCTTCACCCCATATGAATTTCATCCTGCCCATAGCCCAAGGCTGGTACGAGATGGTGTCCCCTTTCCTGATACTGAGTCCATCTGGGAATGTATCATCAGAAAAGCAAAACTTCCCATCCTGCAGTAGAGAAAGATACCACTATACCATTTAGCTGATCTTTGATAGTCCCATAATAATCTGCACGATATACCAGCTAATAACATATTATCGGTTACATCACCAGAGGAACAGCAGGATACAGTCTGAGTGTTTCGGTCAAGGCTGCATGAAGATACTGCATTTTGTCAAGTGCTTCTTCAGTGATGTTGTTCGCTAATTCATCCGTCAAAGGATTGCCCTTCACATTTGTTGCTTTTACCACCTCATCTGCAATTCTCTCTTGCATGTGAGGGTGCTTGCACATCATGTAAAAGAACCAGGAAAGAGTACTAGCTGTTGTGTCCTTCCCAGCAATTATGAAGCTAAGAATGATATCTTTTAGATACTTCGGATCCGTTTCATTATTTTCCAGAAACCTTGACAGAATGTCTTCTTTCTTCATCTGTCATAATGCATTTTATAGTTACATATTCAATATGCTTAATTTAAGGTCAAGAAGAAGTGTGGTTTAACTCACTAGCCAATCATCCCGCGACTTGTGCAGTTGTTCTGTCTTGCTTCTGATGATTTTATAGACATATTCATCAATAACTTTGACATTGTTCCTCAATTTTGCTTCTGATCCAAGGTTCAGAAATCTTTTCAATTTCCAGGGTAAATCAACATAGCGATACAGGGTGATTGCACTTGCTTCATCAAAACAACGAGAAAATCGTGTGCCTTCTTCATTTGTTCCGCACATGCTGTCGAGTTCCACTCCAAGTACAACCTTAAAAACTGAGTCCAGGGCTGATTTCATAAACAAATCCTGCCGATGAGATAAAAGATCAGTCTATTGTCTATTGAAAGGAGTTCATGTAACAAAGTTTTCCATCCTTGTAACTGGAAGGATCTTTCTGTTATTTCTATTATGGAAAAGCAAGAAGATTCCTACTTGGACATCCATTGTCTGATTTGATGCCACTGCTTCTGATACTAGCCTAGCAAGTTTTGATGCATTAGTTCTGAAGACTCCACTGCTGAAGTCCCTCAAGATTTTGGTAGAGAATTCGTAACTAGACGTCTTCCTCTGATTTCGCCACTTTTCTCCATCTACCGTGAAAATCCCATCGCCAAGAAGGTCCTCCAAAACGCTGTGGTGGTATGGTCCCTACACAAAATCTTGTATAAGATACTTACAATTGGAAAGATTTGTCAGTAGACTGTCCTCTACATGCTGAATTCTGTTTCACCACTTTTTCCCCTTTTTCTTTGCATTAGTATTTGTATCACAATGTTTACTGCTACATACATCCAATTGTAAATATCATACTGCAATCCACAAAGGTTTCTTTCTTTCAATGTGTTGGCATCCAAGAAACTGTCTAGACTTCCTAAACTTAATTTGTTAATCAAATTCAAAGAATATACGGCATTCCTGGATGCCAATGTAGATTCTGACATCTTAATGCTTCTCTGTGATGTCAATCCTGAAAATCTTGTTTCTATTGTGCTGAAACAATCTGCAAGAACAGAGACCTAGACAAATTCCAAAAAGATATTCCACTATAGTTCTTTAACAGGTACAATTTATGCTGTTCAGGGAAAATGTATTAGCCATACCATTAGGCTAATTAAGCTTTTTAACTTCTATCTTCAATAACCTTCCCAAAACAGTTTATGATACAGAACACAAAATTCCTAACATCATTTTTGCCTCCTGAAACTTGAAATTCATGGTTGTTTTAGCATGTACTCACCCTGCCATAATTTGCAAAGTTGGTTTTGAGAATGTACTCAACATTTGCAGGGTCTGAAGTGTACACCTCGCACCTGGAAAAGTTGAGCATCCTGAAAGTCCTGTACTTTCTAGCCAAATCAGTCAGATAATGATGCAGCCTGTCGAAGTTGAGCAACATGTGGAAGACGGTGCCCCCAACAGGAGTGTATTTTTTCTTCTCCCTTGATCCTCTTCTCATACTCTTCAATACACATGCCGTCAGAGCCACAGCTAAAGCTGCTGTAATGATCCATATCGGATTAAACAGAACTTCGATTGAAGCCATTTTTGCAGATGTTACAGAAAAGTATCTTATCTGTTAACTTGATCAAATGCTAAGCAAGATTTGACATTTGAGAGTATAAATATCTTTTGTATTATCTACTTGCAAAAGCTAAAGAATTAGTCAGATAAGGATGGTAGCCACTTCAGGAGACGACAAGATTTTCGGGAACTTCATATTGTCAGATCATTTCCCCTTTTTTTAATGCTGCCAATTGATGCTTTTTAATCGTAGGTTCCAGTCAAAATAAATGAGTTCACATTAGAACTTAACTTGGAAGCATTAAGAAGTAAGAAACTGTAGATATAGGGAATTTCTATTTCTTGAAAACGCCAACGTTTTTATCAAAAAAAGAAAAGAAAAGAAAAAGTCAACAACGTGAACGTCAGGTCTATCATGGGATTTTAAAATTTGATTTGATGTTATATTTTTTTGGGGTTAATCATACTGTGCCTCCAGAAAGTAGTATTACCCAGTCACACTTTATTGCCCCCAACTTTAGAAATATTCACTTTACTCCCCTCTTGAGTAGTCAAATATTGAAAAGGTTAAAACCGTCAAAAAAATGTGTTGAAAAGACTTAAATAGCCATGGTTTGTTGACGCATGTGTTGGAGGAAAGTTAAGCATACTGCACGTATAACTTGAGAAAAAGAACAAAAAAAGTTATTACGAAGTGAAAAAAAAGACAGCCAATAATAAGTAGGGGAAAAAAAAAATTCTGAAAGAGCCTTGAATCCTTTTGAGAGACTAGAAAAATTTGTGAAATTCCCTCAAATTCACTGAATTTTCGCTTAATGAAACAATTCAATCAATTGATGAAGAGGACGAATTAGGCAATTTAACAGCATTGAAGTAACCTTGTCAAGCATTAAGCTAATTGTTGTGATCCATTTGTTGACGTTAGATTCAAAAGTTTAGAATTTGGGTTTATTTATTGAAGTTAAAGTATAAAAAAAATTTTGGCTTCGCTTTTTTGGTTTTTATTGCGCCTTCTAATGAATAAATACCATATAGAAACTAGAAAGGTATTAATGTAACGATCATAGACTTATTCATTGAGTTATGAGAGGCTATGTATAATTCCGAAAGAGAAATATTCAAATGAAGTGATAGAGTCAACTACTAAAATCGGTCCAGTAATTAGGAAAGCATGTTTAGAGTCTTCTTTATTATTAGATTCAGGGTTTGAATTTTATAGTCACAATTGTGAGGAGAAGGAAATGACGAGAGGTTAAACAAAAAATCAACCTCATTAACTTGGAGGTGGTGAAGTGAATATTTCCAAAGTCAGAGGGGATAAAGTGTGAATATTCCCAACCTTAAGGAGGACGGGCAAAGTGTGATCAACCACATCATTTATTATGCCGTTTCAGAGGACCCGCAACAGCGGCTATCCGCTTACGTGACGTAGCAAAGGAGAGATAAAAGCCACCTGCCAGCAAGAAAGGAAGAAAGATACGACAAGGAAAAAAACAAAGATAAAAAGCCCTAAAATATAGAAGCAGGTTTGTCCAGTGGCCTATCATTTGCCAAAGAAGGAATGGCCTGCGAGTATAGCTTTCTTTTTTTTTTAAAAAAAAAAAAAGCCGTGCTTTTCATTCAACTTGGATCGGCAATAGCGGCATTGATAACATCCTTGGGGAAGTTTACCAAACAAACTTTACTTCCCTCAAGAGACGACGACATTTTAGACAACAAATGTGCAGGTATATTGTTTGATCTTTTCATATTAACAAAGCCAAATTCTGCTAGCATTGACCTGATGCAATGGATAATGTCACCGATCAAGAACAGGTCATGATCTGCACTGTTTATCTTCTGCACGATATTTAAAGCATCTCTTTCCAAATGGAAATGAGTGATGCCAAAGTCTCTAGCAAACAGAAGAAGACCACTGAGACAAGCTAAACCTATTTGGATTGTTATTTTTTAGAGTTTTCGTAGATTGTAACGATTTAATATACGTGAGTGAAAAATAATTGAAAAATGAGCTCAGGAATGGTGCAAAAAATTTTAGATGAAAAATGGCAATACAAACAAGGCATAAGCTCTCAACATGCTCTGCACTAAGGCTTCATTTGGATGGAGAGAAAAGGACAGAAAAGAAAGGATTCTGAGAGAAACCCGTACCGTTTCATTCATTTGGGAGTTCTAACATGGACAGAAGAGAAAAGAAAAGAACGGATAGGAGTCCCTCCAGCCGGTGAAAATTTTTCCGCCCAAAAGTGGGAAGAAAAGGACGGAAACAACTTGGGCTGCCAAAAGACATTTCTAATATGACAATTTTGTCCTTTAAAAGCTGAGACAAAAATTTATTATTCCCTTTATATCCTAAAATTCATTTGTAAAACCACCGTGCAAGGCTTTCTCAGCGCTTTACTTTCAATACTTGCAACTAGATTCACTTGGCTTTCTTCCGTTCAACACCCACAATTCAATACAAAAGGTATTTCTTCAACTCAATCTCTTCTTTCTTTCTTTCTTTGCTCAATCTTCTTTAGAGAATTATGAAAAAAGGATTTTTTTTTGTGTAGATTGTTATTGTTTATATTCTAAATTTTTTTGTTCATTTTCTTTCATAAAATTCTTGTCTGTGGGAAATCTTGATTTTTATATTATTGATTTGTGATTATATCTTGCATGGTTATGGTAAATGTAAGTTTCAGTGGTGATACATGAATTTGAAATTTAAATGCATACATTCTGTTTGTTTATTTGCCTGTGTAAGCTTCAAATTGTAAAATGATGAACACGGAGTGTTTGGCTGCATGTCAATATTTGTCAAAGTGTGGCCATGTAAACTTTTGTGTAATGTTTGTTAATTCTTCTGGACTAATTCTTTATGCTTGTCTAATGTTTGTTAATTTGAGGAAACTTTGCTAGTTCCAAAGCATCAACCATTTGCTCTGGCTAACATGCGCCTTTTAGTTCTCTACCTTACAAATAATTTGTCTAGTAAAATTGCTTCAACAACTATTGGAATGGATTTAAAGTGGAATTTTTCTCTTCTAAATGGAACTGGTTACCTTACAACTGCCGGACGTTCCAGCAAAATTGCTTGATGAATGTTTTAAGGCTCGATTTTGTTCTCCTTCAGTTTTATATGCAGGGAAGAAAATACTTTTGAAAATACTTTAACTGGTTACCTTATATGAGCATGTTATCATGTTCAAAATACTTTTGAAGATACAAGCTAGTTTTGGAAATTGAAGATGATTCCAATTACCCACTGGACATTTCATGTTTTGAAATTATGTAGATCATTGGATCCATATTTTTGCTTAGAAGTTGATAGAATTTCTTTTGTATCAAGAGTAAATGCTCATGTGGATTCGGAAATCTGAATGCTACAGGAAACCAAGTTGCATTCCATATAATCCTGGTTTATGTATATTTTGAGTTCACTTGGTTGCATTCCATTTTATTGAGTTCTCCTTATCTTGATAGTGACGCAGAGGCAGTTCGGCAAGATAATATATTGAAGCTTGAAGTTGCAGAGTTGAAGTCCAAATTTTGTGAGAGAACCCAAGCTCTCATCCATGGTGACCTTCATACAGGTCTATCATGGTTACTAGCAATTCTACTCAAGTTATAGATCCAGAATTTTCTTTCTGCGCGCCGATGGGATTTGATGTTGGAGCTCTTATTGGAAACTTAATCCTGGCTTATTTTGCACAAGATGAACATGCAAATGAGGGAAATGACAGAAAGGAATATAAGCTGTGGATATTGAAAACTATAGAAGAGACGTGGAATCTTTTTTATAAAAAGTTTACTGCTTTCTGGGATGAACACAAGGATGGCCCTGGTGAGGCATATCTGCCTGAAATTTTTAATAATGCAGAAATTCATCTGTTGGCAAAACAGAAATATATGGAAGATCTGTTCCATGACAGTCTTGGATTTGGTGCTGAAAAAATGACAAGGAGAATTGTTGGGGTGGCTCATGTTGAAGACTTCGAATCAATAGCTGAGCCAGAGAAACGTGCGAATTATGAACGGCAAGCTCTCACCTTTGCAAATTTGCTTCTGAAAGAAAGACGAAGCTTCAAGAGCATTGGTGAAGTTGTGTCCGCCGTTCAGCAGTCTAAATCATGAGAAACTCCTCAAATTTATGATTTTAAATATTGCAAGGATAATTGAGTTAAATTGTGATATACAGTAATAACTCCAAAGGACAAGCAGAATGTATTCAAGGGTAATAAGAGATTTCTTAAGTTTTGTGTCCCAAAAAAAAATTTAAAAAAAATAAAAATTGAAAGGGCAAATATGTAAAGTTGCACTCTCATAAAATCCTTTCTTTCCATATCTTTCCAACTCTCAAATAAGGGAAAGATGTTTCTTTTCTTTTCTTTCATTGAACTCCCAAACGAAATATGCATCTTTTCTCTTCTTTTCCTTTCTTTTCTAAGTTATCTTTTCTCTTCTCTTCTCTTCCTTCATCTACTCCCAAACTAAGCCTAAAACTTCAGGAATTCTCTTTGTCATTGCTGCTTCAATTTGACCAATTCTTTAAAGTTTAATCCCCACCTCCCCTCATTTTTTATGGAAACCAAGTAATAATATTGCACCTATTTTTAACTTTATAAAAATAAAAAAGGTAAATACTAATAATTGTTTTTAAAGTGAATTTTTGAAAGTGATTATTTTGTTTGTTTTCTTCATTATTAGAAAAAAGTAAAATTATAGCTTTCTTTAAAGTTTAATCCCATTTTCCTGTCATTCCTGATAGAAACCAACTAGCCCACTTCTAATTATTGCGCCTACTTTTAACTTTATAAAAATAAAAAAAAAACACAAATAATTGTTTTAAAAGTGAATTTTTGTTATTTTTTTCAAATATTAGAAATAAGGAAAAAAAGAGAAAAGATGGCCTTATATGGGAGTTGGCATATTAGATGGGTTATAGGCCTACTAATAGTTTAGGAAAGCAAGATCTTTTTCTTTTTTTAATATTGCTACTTAGTATTAAATTTTAGGTGTACAACTTACCTGTACAATTTGTGAAAACTTTGAACTTGGAAAGTTGAAAGTACGCATGACACATTGAAAAAATGAATAAAAACAAAGTGAATAATTTCAAGGCTTATGTTAGAAAAACATCCCCTCCGATAGCTCAAAAAAAAATCTTGCTCAAAAAAAATCATCTCATATACACACAAGCTCTCATTCCAAAACTTTGAAAATAAGAAGTATATAAAGGAAATAAAATCAAAGAAGCAAAATGATAAATTTACAATAGTCTATGTCCCACAGAGCATCCAAGATTTTGTTTCCATTTTGTTTTGACACAAAAGTCGAGAAGTAGCTTTTTAGGTTATGATTATTGAATCCCATGGACTGAATTTACAACATCTCTCTCTATAGTACGCCACGGAAACAGTTATATCAATTTCAAAATCATCCATGGAAAAACTATAAAACAGTATTTTTTTTTGTTATCAAATTTTTTTAGTGTAAGATGTTGGTCGCGAACCCGGGATCTAGGGATGGTAACATTTCAGGTTTGAACTGGAACCAATCCAGAGGTTTTTTGAATCGAAACTGGAATCGGATTCTGGAAATCGGAATCTGAATCATAACTGTGAGCAAAGGTTCATGTTCGCTAAAATTTTGAACCAAAACCAAAACCGATGGTTTAAGATCTATTCAAACTGTTCAGAAAAACATTCACTACCTAAACCTATTTAGACATTATAGAGTTTAATATCAATAGTCAGTTTCTAATACCCATAGGTCCAAACCTCATCTAACAACCCATTATTCCATTCTATTAGTAAGTCTATATCTCATAACTAATCTAAATTTAAGACCAATCTAATTTAATTAATAATGAAATATTTTTTCATAAAATTTGTATCATTTTTTTTTCCTTGTACATGATAATATAATAATTTTTTTATATTCATTCTCATATTTTTTTAGAATTAATTTAACAAGTGTTTAAGCATAACTAAAATAACTGGAATCTAATCAGAAAAAATCAAAATCGTAACCGATATAAAATTAGAACTAAATCCGGACCAAAACCAGAGGTTCAAGAACTATAATTGTAACCACCGCTGTAAGGATCAGTTTAGGTTTTACCTTTTTAGTAAAATCGAAATCATTAGTTTTTAAATCAGAACTGATGATTCTAGAACCCATCCCTCTCGTCCTTTTTTTTTTTTTTTATCATTTGTTATCAAATAATTGCTTACGCATCATTAATCAAATGCTTATGCAAAGGGATGGCAACGAGGGATTGGGGAAGGGAGCCCACCCCGTCTTCCAACAACTTTCCCCGCTTTCACCCTGCCTCGTCACCTCGGGGTGTCCTGTTGTGCCTCACTTTTTATTTGACTTTGATATATATATATATATATATATATATACACACACACACACTCACAGCACTAATAATGAATTTAGGAATTATTGTTTTGAAATTTTAGCCAAAAAATTCAACGCGAAACAAAGTTTAAAATTTATTTTGATCTTGTAAATTTGTTTCTTTACATTTTTTTACCTAAAATCTAAATCCATTATTTCTTGTATATATAAACAAATGCCTTACACAAAAAAAAGGAGAAAAGAATAAACTACCATAACAACATTATCATTCAAGTACAACAAATTAACAAGAAAGATTAAATTATTTTATCACAAGATAATATCAAATTAATCATTTCATATCACATATATATATATATTCTATATTTTATATGGATAATATTAAATCATTGGCCAGGGTGTGTGGCGGGGAAATGGGACGAGGGTATCCTCTACCACTGCATTAAACTCAAAGTGAGGGAAGAAAATATCCTCTCATTACCATCCCTACTTACACATTATGAATTGTCCCGTACTCCTGGAAGTTTAAAGTAATTTAGCCCAAAGATTGTTGCCTTGTCCAGTATTCTTCTTTTTTTTTTTTGAGCTTTGTGCCTCCTTAAAATTACACTAGGTATCTACCGGTTTGACAACTCCATTTAGTTACCATATTACAGTGCCCTAAAGATTCTGATAAAAAATTCCAAAGATGAATTTGTATATTTTGAATAGAAGTGGCAAAATGGATATATGGTTGATAAATGGTTTTAGTTAAATGGATAGTGGATCAAATTGATCCAATCCAATTAAAACCATTTAATAAATGGATCTAAATGGATGTCATTTAAATGGATAGTGTAAACCATGATCCATCCATTTATCCATTTACTCTCCCAAATCCTAAATTTAAGATCCAAATGTTTTTTTTCCAAAAAATACAGATCCCCAAAGTTCTATCTTTAAATCACCTAAAACCTTTTGGTAATAACAAATGCTTGTACCACTACTCTATTTCAGTTCTTCATAAAATTAGTTTAGTTCCAAGAAAATTTAATTGCTGTGGTCAATTTAACCTTTCGTCATTACTTTAAGTATCATTTTGTAAAGTAATGAACAATTAAGAACTTGGCTACATTTTTATAACTTTTGAATGAATTGAATACGGCTTTACAGTGAAAAGAAGTTTACGTTTCCAATATTTTGCACTCCTGTTCAAGAGTGATGTCTTGAATAAAAGTGGAGTTCTAATAAGAAATCTTTTTATGTTATTTGACAAGCAAAATATTTTCATCATATGTGCACGTAGTACCTAAAGATGTATGAAACTCCTTATTATACCATTGATATACAAGCTACCTTATATTACTTAATAAATTAGGTGTCTTTTTTTTTTGGATAGTTGGGTTAGGTGATAAGGGGAGAGGGATTGCAAGTATGAGGATTTGGAAAAAAAAAGGGTGTCATTTACATATCTTAACCAATGTTGCGGGAACACTCGTTAGAAATTTTTTTTTATAAATAAAAGAATTAAAAAAAATAAAAATTATTTTGACACTGCATGATGCATTCTCGCTTTTTCTTTACTTAAGAATATAAATGTTTGCAATCATTACTACATGAGGGTTTAATTAAAAAAAAAACAAGAGTAGAGACTAAAATATAATTTTGAAAAGGATGGAAGAAATCTAGGAACTAGAAGCAAATAAAATGCAATTAATGTTATTGGCAACTTGGCATGTGAGGAGGTTATGAAGGAAAGAATAGGTGGTCCCCACAAAATTAATTTGGCATATGAGGAAGTTATGAAGAAAAGAATAGATGGTCTCACAAGATTTTATCTCATATTTTTATAAATGTGTTTTCTATTTTTTAAGTTAAATGGATGTATATGGATATAGGCCTGTCAACTGGTCGGGTCTAGACCCGGATCCGTGAAATTATTGCGGGTATGGGTAGGGATTTAATTCCGTTTCCCGGATCCGGATCCGGATCCGTTTTGCCAAACAAAAAAACGGGTCGGATACGGAATATAGTATTCCGACCCGTATTAGACCCGGATCCGGATATAAATGAATTAATAATTTAAAATATATATATTTATCAATATAATTTGATTAGGGTGATGTATTTTAATAAAGTTAATTTGATTTCTTTTCTTATTTGATTTTTTCTTTGCATTAGTTAGAAATTAGTTTACAAATATATTTTTTTCTCATTTTTATTAGAAATTATAAATTTTGGTAAATTTGTTCGGGTAGACCCGGATCCGGATCCGGAACATAGAATAAAAGACCCGTCGGGTAAACGGGTCGGATCCGGATCTGGCATAGTAATTCGGGTCCGGGTCCGGAATAATGAATTCCGGCCCGGACCCGGCCCGTTGACAGCCCTATATGGATAAGATGGATAATCCATTTAAATCCACCAACATAATTGGATTTAAATGGTTATCCATTTAAAACCATTAAATTTATATGGATCATCCAAATCCATTTAAGGTTGGTTTATATGGATGGATTGGTGGATATGAATCCATTTTGCCACTTCTAATTTTGAATTACTTACCTTTTGATAAAAATGCTCCAAAAAATAACCTTTGGATAAAAAGAATGATTTCACTAATAAAATCTGTATTTATAAACTGATATAAATGAATACAGGATGGGAAAAGTTTGGTACCGCAAATACAAGTAACCAACCAACTACTTCTAAAATAGTTGGTCGACAAAAGAGTTTTAAATCTGTACTTAAATGTAGGTTAAGAAATCAAATCTCCTTGCTTATATTCTAAAAATTCAGACTTTTCTAGAAGTGTCGCCCGTCTGAGCTAGTGGTAGTTCAATCCCTTTCGAATTTTCCTTGGGTCTTTTCAAATCCTCCTTCCCCTAATATAGAATAAGTGTAGATCTATCATGTCCAAAAAAAAATACAAGTAACCGTTGCCGATTTATGGTCCTCTAAGAGCAATATAAAGCTGATGAAAAGATTTTACTTTTGCGCTAAAGAATGTAAAGTATTTCATACAGATAACATGTTTGGCAGCGGAATGTTGGCGAAGGGATTAGTGGTTTTCCTTCCGAACCAAAAAAAAAAAAAAACAAAGGAAAAAAAAGAGAGAAGAAAAAGAGGTGGTTTGCTGAGAAGGAAACCAACCAATTGGGGCAACCGTCTACTACATAAATTCAGGCAACAAAACGTTGAGTAACTAACGAGTTTTATACTAGTTTTTACAAACATGTTGTGAAAAAAATATTAAACATGTTTTTCAATCAACTTTGTCATGTCACATGAGACAGATTATTTGCTATAGTAATTTCCATAAAAAAAACTCCAAAAAACAACCATCTAAACAGTGCATAATATATATTTTGTTTGTTGTTGTATTCCCAATGATGAAAAGTCTATGCCAAAAGAAGATGCAAAAAAATTCAAAATTGATCTTTATATTGAATAAAACTATTTCTGGAAAAGCATTGATAAAAAAAAAAGATTAACTAAAATGTTTAGGGTTGAAAAAAGGGAAAATGGCCATTTTGGTCCTTCATCTTTTGAGTTTTGGTCAAATTAGGCCCTTATCTATCATAATGACCATTTTAATCCCTTGTTTTTACAAAAGAAGGCCAATTTAGGACCTCTAATGGAAAATAAAAAATTTTAACGAATTAGTCACGTATGCAACATCGGCATGTGCACCATTAGAAATAATGGTTTTGGTTCATTATCTTTAGGATTGTGTCTAATTTTGTTCCTCATATCCATTAGTATTTTCTAATTTCTCATTAAAAGTCTTATATTGATTTTATTTTGTGAAAGTGAGAGTTCCAATTACTGAAAGAACAAAATCTTGAAGATGATGTATCAAAATATTCATTTTTAGCGGTTCACTTGCCTTGCACTTAACTAATTCAAGATCCTAGATTTATAGATTTTTAATTTTCCATTTGAGATCCTAGATTGGCTAAATTTTTATTTTCCTTAGCAGGTCTAGATGCATGAAAGTTTATGTTGAGGGTATCGTAGAATAAAAATCGTGTCAGCAGATTTATATTGGAGAATATTATAGAACAAAATCTGTGTCAACAAATTACTAAATTTATTTGTTTGTATTTATTTCTAAAAGTTAAAAAAAAAACTGTTATTCTTTTACACGTACATATTGCAAGTGGGCTCAGAAGCCCCCAAATATGAAATTCATTTAGTTTCTTTAGCCAAAAAAATAACAAAGATTTGACTAAGACATGTAGAAGCCCAACCAAACAGGTTGGACCTCTCCAAAAATTGGCGTATGCTACTTTTTGCAGCGAGCACACGGTATTCTTTAGTAAAAGGCGAAAGAATAGTTCGCTCTGTGCCCACTGCGTAGCTGCGTGGCTTTTGCAAGGCGTCGTGGGGGCCCTTATAAAGCATTTCTTCGGGGCCATGACAGTTGAGCTAGCCGATGTGGGACTTGACTCATCTATTCTACTCTATCCCATCCAACTAAAACGAAGGAAATGAAAATTAGCTATGTTACATGGCATTTTCATCAGGGTTTCTTAGCCTTCTAGAACTTTAATTATATATGCTCCATCCTAGTCTTACGAATTTAGGTTTTTTTGATATCTAGAGAGTGAGGCTTGGATTGGGATCTGTAAGTAGTTCAATTCGTGAATAGCACCTCACAAGTTTCGTTTCAAATAAGTTTGTCCCTAAATGTAAATGAGTTGAAATAAGGTGTAAATGAGTTATAAGTAGGATATTAAAAAACTTTTTAAAATGATCATATATCCTGAAATGGAATAAAATGAAACTTGTGAGACCCGGATCCGTTCAATTCACAGTAAATTATATGCCCTAGAGGAGATTTTGTGGTCAAGACTGAGAATCAATCCCTTAGATAATTAAGGTGCCTTTTGCTCCATTTTCTACTGTGCATTGCAAATGTAATTCTGTGTATAACTCTGCTCAGAGATTTCTTTACTAACTTGGTGCAGTTTTTCTTTATTTTGGAGGTCTAAGATGAAGTGCAGTTGAAATGTACTAGAAAATCGTTCTAAATTGTCATGATTGCTCAATAGAGTCAAGAAGACAAATTCAAAAATTTAATTGAGGGCCAGTTCAATTGTGTAATCGGTTTTTTTCATCATGATTTCTTGGCTAATTCCAGAATGCACGATAGACAATAAATTCAAGGAAAACTTCTAAATTTTACTATTCTTGATGCTAGAGCAGAACTGCCTTTTGTTTTAAAGGCAGCAAGTACACATGAACCTGCATTACTCCTAACATACTGGATCTTTCATTTTCTCATAGACAATTAGGAATTGCTTGCTGGGAGTAACATGAATTTCCAGTTTTTTTACATCAATTCTGGTCAGTTTCCTGGTTTTGTAATTGCTACCTTTCTCTTTCTGTAAATGCAAATATTAGCCAAAACTGTAGCAACATTCAAATTTGAACGTATTGAAGCTCTTGTATTCTTTGGCAAGGTTTTGCAATGAAGCAAATAGAGCCAGCTCGAAGCCTCTTCGCAATTAAAAATATGTACAAGGGTTCACTCTTATTTGTGAAATCCAAAAAAAAAAATTGAAAAAAAAATCCTCCAAAACTATCTTCAAATAGCCAAGCATTTATTTTCACAAAGATTTGATGGTCAAAATAAAGGTCCTGCAAACCAAACCAAACCATAAGAAGGCATCTCAATTTAAATGTGGGATTTCCTCAAGAAACACAAGGAGACATTTGTTTCATGGTTCAATAATAGAGTGGCCTTTGATTGAGAACACAAAAATTACTTCAGCTGCCAAAGCTTCAATTGCGACGCCCAACAGTTATTTCAGAAGACAAAGAAGATGAGGGATGAGGCGGTGACAGCGCCAGTTCACTCTTGTACTTACTGAGTTTTGTTTTATTAATTTTATTTGACTAAATCAGATTATTTGCTTAATACATTTTTATCTATTTTATAATAATGTTAGATATCTTTTAACTTTAACCCATAAAAAATTTCAAATTCTCTCTAAATGTACAAAATTTATGTTGCATTCTAAGATATTATTTAATTTTTAACCATCAATATGTAATTCTTATAGGACTTATACCCCACGCCTCAGGGAATTTATCACACACAGAAATACAGAAAATCCATTTGGTCTTAGTTAGAAATCATAATCTTTTTGCCATAGCTTTCATACAACTTTTGCCATTTATGCAAAGAGATTTTATTTAGTAGCTGCTTTTTTTAAGGTTAAATGTCTAGTAGTAATTCTAGTGCACGAGTTCGAGAGCTAGATGATTATGGTACCTACAATAACTATTTCAACAACCATTTAAATTTTGTTGATGCTTATCAATTTAATAAGTTGGAAATAATTAGTATAATGGCACTTAAAAAAGGTTTTATATTTAGAATTTCAATTTATATTTTTAATCCAAATATTATATTACTTGTTTAAAATGTCTTAACATTAACTGTAACATTTTTCTCAGGAAATCAATAATGAAATAGTGAAGCTACTTCTATTTCTATCAACTCACTAGTCTAATATGTAATTGGATTTTTTTAGCAACTAATTCTTAGACTTAGGCCCGTTTGATAATTCCATGCAGTATTTAAACTTAATAGATTTAGATCTTAACATAGTTAGACGCATTTGATAATAAAAAATTGGGCATCTAAATTAATTAAATGGCACTGAATTTTCTAAGCAAAACTTGCTCCCAAAATTAAGTGATAAACTGCTCACTTATCACTTAATGTGATATAAATTCAAATATATCAAATTTAGTACTTAACAATTCAATAATTTAATAAATTTAAATTTCATATTTCAGAATTTAGATTGCACTTTTATCAAACACACCCTTAAAAGTGTATTTTATGCAACTATGATCTAGTTTGCAGTGCATTGATGTGGAATAGTTTAACTCAGGTTGGTACAAAGTAATGGTGTTATTCTAATTTTCCATTCTGATTTTTTTTGCATGGTTCTCCATATTTTCATATGAATTTTCACGATATTTAGAGCACTACATGTACAAAATACGTGTCTTACTACAACTGCAATCATTATATCGCGACCAACTACATTCATTTCAATTTTATCCCTTCAATTTTTTAAAAAGCTATAGAATAACCTATAAAAAATTTAGTGTTTTTACTGTTGCCCCACTTTTGCGTCTTCCCCCTCAAATTTTCAAAATATTCTAACTAATCCCATAATTGCCTTGGAATATGTTCAAATTTTTTACAGTTGTCCTCACCATTTCCCAATTGAAGCTCAAAATAAAACATTATGCTATTTTTATTTCTTTCTAATAAATCCTATTTACATAAATCTAAGCTCGACTTATAAATCTAAGCTTGACTATATATGTACACGTTATATGCCTATTATACATTAGAATATACCTTATAGTTTTGTGCATAATATTAACAACTTTACAATTTAATACCATTAGACGACCTAGAAACTATTGTACATACTAAATGAGAAGCTATAGTTAATCTTTTGATTTTATTTTTGGAATATTGAACAAACTAGTTCATATATGTTAAACTAATTATAGTAAACACTTGTGCCAAAAACCCCCAAACTAGTTCGTGTTTTGAGTTTAATCTAAATTTATTGCATCTCTAAACAAAGATCTTGGTTCTACAACTGATCAGGACTGATGTGGAACAATGACAATCATGAAGAAATTTTCTTGTGTATTGCTAGAAACCACTTGGGCCAAAAGTATTAACAGTAAAATAGAAAAATTTAGTCTGGGAATTAAAATGGGAAAAAAAAGAAGACAAAGTGCCTAGAGTGAAAAGTAGGGGATCGGAGAGAGGAAATCTTGAAGAATAGACGAGAGAGGAAAAGAAGAAAGCAATCAAAGGCACTTGGTGGACTACAACAACAAAAACATTAAACAAGAACTAGAAGAAAGAGAGAGGTAGAAATAACTTACAACTGTTAATGGTTGATTCTGGTAAATCATGGTCAGTATCATACTTCTTTTAGTTCATTCTTGTAGTAAAGACAATACTCAGCTTCTTCACCATTTTCTTTGTCAAGTTAAAGGTGGAATTTTCTTCAAAGAGTTTTTCCATTCACTAATTTTTTTTTCCCAAATTTTTTTCTAAAAAGGGAGATGTGAGATATAAAAAGCGGGAAGGGAGAATGAGAAAGGAAAATTGAAATCCATCACCTATAAATCATAAAATTTCAATCTTAGCTACTAGACCGAGTTCTTTTCCGCACTTACTCTATTTATTTCCATTCTCCCTGAATCTTAAGTCTACAAAAAAATACGTATTCTATTGCCAGTCATCATTTGTGATTGTTGAATAATGCTTCTGGCATTCATATTGAAAGAATTGAAATAGTAGTCAAGTGCTGCTCAAAATTTAAAGAGTAAAATGAGATAGGCTTCATACTTTAAGAAGTGAAGTGTTTAAATTGAAGTTCAAAGACTACAGTAAAATTGTATCTATAATTAGAGGATCCAAAGTGCAAATGATCATTAATAGAAGAGCATCTATAATTGAACCAATTCACAACAATAAAAATTATATTACTCAGTCGTACGAGTGAAATCAAGTTGGATGAAAAGTTATTCATTTATTCTTCAAAGTTAAATTTTTGCTCAACATTTTAAGCTCTCAAATCGAATTTTCAGGAGAATTTGACTAGAATTCAAGAGTAAATCTAGACACTAAACTTCACCATTTTTTATTGATCATCTATTTCTAGCTAGCATGTAATATAATGTCCTATAAATTGAACGAACTATCCCCAAATTTTACTTTTTGGCCGGTATTTAGTTATTCTTTATAAACAACTTGCCATAATGGATGGTCGACTTAGCACACACTAGATTTCACTTCGTATCCTCAATTTCGTCCTATTTTGCCTCTAATTGCTCTTCAAAATTTTCCATCATTTGGAGCTATTATCCTCCACTATCATTTTCCCATATTCATTGTCTTCTGTCAATCTCTTCTCAATTTATCTTTGTCGTAAGTTATTGTCAAAGAATGAATTTTCCCGGCGTGGCGTTTCAATCACTAAGTAACAATCAGAAAAAGACAAGCTATGCAGGATTTTTTTTTATTTGGTAAATAAAAGTTTAGGATGAGTTCAGTTCCAATCACCACTATGGATTAGGATATGCCCTGGATTCATAGGTATCTTATAGAGATTCTTACAAATCACCGATCAACACAGCGCAGCAAAGTACGTCCTTTTATGAGGAGGTGATATGTTTTTACTAATTGAGTCAAATTACGTAATTTAGTAACTGACTTATTAAGGATTCCAACATGCGCCAGTTTTATATATATGTCCTAATCCAGGGATGTTCCAATTGTACGCTCCGTGCGAAACTCCTGTATTGTA